TGATTATAATGAAGGTAAAATAGATTTTAGCATTATGTTTCCAAGGAAAATAACATAGAGGTAGGAGTAAGACTGCGTACTCACTTTTTTCCCCAGATCCCACTTGTGGGACTACACTGGGTATGTTGTTGTTGTTTTGTTTCCAAGGAAAATAACAATTTTTGTTGTTTGAATTAGTGGGAATCTGAAACACATTTATGACCTATTTATGTTATCTTATGTTGTATGAATGGATCTATGTTAAATCTTTCTTTACTCTTAAAGTGCATTCACCTAGTGAATCGGTGCCATTGTGTCGTTTCCATCCACTCAGTTCTTATTTTCTCGATATTCTAGTAAATAACCATGGTGTTCCGGGCCAACTTCCACGTATCTCAACTAATTTCATGGGACACCTACTATCTTTCACCAGGTACCACCGTTCACCAAGGCTTAGACAGATGGGAAGAAATCACCTAGTGTTTTTGCCTCCGCTGAGGATTTGAATCTAAGACCTAATGGTTCTCAACCCATTTCATTGACCACTAGGCCACACCCTTGAGTTATGTTCTTGGTGATGCTTGAGAGATGATAATTATATACTTTCTTTTTCTTTCAGTTTATATTCCACTTCTTCTCTCTGTCTTTCTCTCCTCTTCCCTCCCTCTGAAGGAATACATAATTCGGTTCGTTGTAGGAGCGAGTTTGCTTGAGTTTGCATCACATGAATTTTGAGGATGTGAGTAAATAGTTCCCAATATTAGAGAGTTTTTTTTACTGCTAAAATTAAACTTCGTATCCTAGGTTGAGATTCGATCCTCTAACCTCCTTTAGACATAGAACGCGCTTGACCAGTGGACTGTGAAAGTGCTGGTCTCCCTTTACTAGAGATTTATTTTAATCTATTTCTATTTTTTTATATACAAGTCTTCTATGAAGTTTTTTTAAAGGTCTTGTAACAACGATATCTAGCAACTAAACTATTTTAAGAAAAGAGGTAGGCTGCATACATCTCACCCCTTGGGGTGCGGCCCTTCCTTGGACCCTGTGTGAACTTGGGATGTTTCGTACACCGGGCTGTCCTTTTTAGTACTATCTAAGTGTTGACGGCTAGTAGAGCCGGCCTATTGTCGAACGGGTTTCGAACCTTGCGCTACTCACCCTCGGAAATTTCTCGGTTATCAAAAAGAAAATCAGAGTTTAATTAGGGAATAATGAGCATTATTTTGATTTGCAGGACTGTGGAGGATGATATAATTGTTGATCAAGTGGAATCTCCAGATATCATTGATGATTTTGAGCTTGGGCAAGAGGAAGCTGTTGATATTAAGGATAAAGAAATCAACAAACAGAAGTTGAAAAGGCGCGTTGAGCAGCACAAGGTTTGTTCCGTTAACCCCTTTCCATTCTTATAATCAAAGTTCACAAGAAACTTGTGGACTTTTTAGGCCAAACCCTTCTATACTACTTCATTTGCTTTTACTTGTATGTATCATTGGCACCACTAATTGAACACATTTCTGGAGCCGCTCGTTCTTTCATATGCGCGGAAGGATTATAGTCAGATTAAGAAATAGAGTGAATTCTTTTCTATAATTATGAAGAAGAATGCATGACCAAAATTTTATAATAGACAAGAGTTATATAGGGATTTAGAATGCAATGCTTGTAATTCAGGATCTTTTTGCATTACATTTTCTATTCGTCCCAAAAGAAACAGTTGAGTGGTTGAGGCATAGGAGTAACAATGTGGAGATATCTAGTTCAAATCCATCTATAACACTCAGTATGAGCGCATCTCCTCCAGCCTTGGTGGGTAAGAATAAGATTACCTGGCATCCATGATTATGGGCTGTAGCAGGTTACTGGTGGACTAATCAAGGTGTGCTCAAGTTAGCCCAAATACCACCATCATAATTAAAGTTCATTTTACATTCATGGTGTTGGTGTTACATTCTCGTCATGAGAATCCTCTTGACCAAATATTCGATAAATCTACATCTTTACAAAAGATAATTACGTAACATTGAAAATTTACGTATGAAATCACACTTTAAGACAAATTGTTATTGCCCAGTGAGAATGTGGTTGTTGAGGAGGGAACAAGATACGAATTGAGGGGCAAATAGGTAATAGACTGCATTGTATTTGCGTTAAGCCCCAATATATAGAGGCTAATGTTGTGGAGGTGGTAAGTCTCAACAAAATGACTATGATATTAAGGCTATATTACCTTCCGTTGGCACTTCAAATTACTAATTGAAGTAAGAACACTACTTGAATGAAGTTATGTTACTGCCAATGGCGCAATAAGTGGCTAGTTCGGTAGAAAAAGATCCTAAATCCTAGAATTCAGCTGTCATTTGAAAGTCTTGGTAGAACTATTTAGGAACTTGATGAAGAGATTGCTTTAATTTGTTATTGATAATACTGTTACCACTTTCAAAAAAATTGTATTGGTAATTAATCGATATAAGGTACTCATTATAGTAATAGTCTTTACAAAACACTAGAATGTATCCTTTATGATGGTTTCGTTGTGTGCGTGGAACCCGTGATCCCAATTGACCCTATCATTCTGGTCTTTAAAGGTTTATTTCAACCTTTTGCACAAATTATTAACTATTTTTCTATTTATCTAAGTTTTATATGGGACTGTTGGTGCTGTATATTCAACTATATATAACAAAGTATAGTTGTATTGAAATTTTGTCCAGTATATACTTTCAATAGAACAGCTGATATTTTGCGTGGGTTAAGGTCATACTTTCTCACTTGCCTTTTTTTGTGATGATCATGTTTGCAATTATTTAGATTGAGCTCCGTAATCCTTGCCGTGAAGGAAAAAAGCTGCTTGTTCTGGATATTGATTATACCTTGTTTGATCACCGATCAACTGCGGAAAACCCACTTCAACTTATGAGGCCTTGTGAGTGTCTTACCTGTACATTTTCCAGTTATACTTAACTCGTTTAATGTTTAACCTTTTCAATTTTTGCCTGCAGATCTTCATGAGTTTCTCTCAGCTGCTTATGCCGAATATGACATCATGATATGGTCGGCAACCAGGTCAGAATTTGCTGTTAGAATTATTGATAACTATGATATCTTTGAAAATCAGAGTATGATTGGAAAAGAGCTTCGAACTATATGCATTGCCTTATTCAATTTCATTTTTGCAGCATGAAGTGGGTTGAGTTAAAAATGGGACAACTTGGTGTACTCGACAATCCGAATTATAAAATTACAGCTCTGCTGGATCATATGGCAATGATAACAGTACAATCAGATCGTTATGGAGTTTTTGATTGCAAGCCTTTAGGCCTAATTTGGGCTCATTTTCCAGAGGTTGCCTTTTTTATTTAATTGCTTCTTTCTTCAATGGATTTATGGCCTAGAGAGATGATTAAATGTTATGTTGGCATAGCTATCTAGAGTTAGATATATTCTTAATAAGTGTCCAAAATATGGTAACTTGATTGTAAATGGATTGGTGCCATAACCAGAACATTTATGCAGAACAGGCTTTGTCGATATTTGGCACACTAACATGTAATCTTGATATTGTGCAGTTTTACAGTCCCAAAAACACTATAATGTTTGATGACTTGCGAAGGAACTTTGTGATGAACCCACAAAATGGGTTGGTTATAAAGCCATTCAGGAAGGCACATGCGAACCGAAGCACTGATCAGGAGCTCATGAAGCTTACTCAATATTTGCTTGCTATTGCAGATCTTGATGACTTGAGCTTTCTTGATCATAAGAACTGGGAGTCCTTCAATGAGGATAATTTCAAGAGACGCCGACATGCCTAAGCGTCTGGCAATTTCTGAAATCAACGAAAACCTGTTTGTGTTGTTAGACAATACAAAAAGAAATGTATCCATTCTGTTCCATTACAAGGAGAAAACTGAACATTTCTGATGTATACTTTGAGTTATTAGGCAGAAGGGACTGTTTTCCTGAAGTCATTTTGTATTTGGATGATCATGGAATTTTCTTGGTATATTAAGTTGAATTATTGAGCCACTGGTGGTTTTTAACATTATTATTGTGCAATGCAGCTAAAGTCCAGACATTAGTTGTGTTCTGATGCACTTTATCTTTCATATCCCAGCTAAGAAAGTTAAAAAAGTATAGACATACTGTAAATTTGTAGTTTTGTGTACTATATAAAGAAATTAATTAGTACAAAATTGCTCTATGCGCATAAGTTTGACAATGATATTAGATGGATTCTGGAAATTTTGCTTGTTAAAGAGTTTGATAGAGACTGGCATTTGCATTGAGTATGAGATAATTTGTATATATGGGTTACAGTCTTTCTATAATACTAACCCAAAAGGTCTACTAAAACCTTTGCTTATGCATCGTTCCAGCTGGAATCAATGAAGCCAGAATTTCTATAAACTATAGAAAAATTTTGCTATAAAATTTAAAAGGTATCTATAGAATATAATTTTTTTAAATGGTATTTATTTAAAATAAATAAGGTATTAACATTTGCTACAGGAGATAAAAATTCCTTCATTTTATGTAACACTACTTTTGTTTGTGATCATCTCACTTATAACATTATTCTATATAATTTTACAATTTTCTAGCAAAGCTGTATAACGTGCACAATTTTCTAGCATTCAAATTCATCAAAATTATTCAGATATGTAATATTTTCTCTTTCAGTTGATTTTTTAACTACTGTTTTATTCCAATACCTTAATCTTCTTTCACTACTTAATCGCAAAACAAATTATCTAAAATATCGAACTTTCTGTTGCGTATGGTACACGCCACCCAGGCATAGCAAACCCTAACCTATCTAAAAGATTTGATAGACTAATTTTTCATGTAACTCTAGTCTAAACTCTAGATTATGTGATTTTTTCCATTCTACAAAAACGAAATATTCTACATTCCATATCAAAGATAAAATCTTTCAACTTCTGTAAATCCTACAACGATCCCAATTGTTATCTCTTGATGATCTAAACTAGTTATCAAAATACAGAAAAAGAAAATAATAATAAACGAATTACTGTTTCCAATCAATCAACAAATCATTCAATCCTTATTATTACTAACAAAACCAGCATTCTTATTCTCCAAGTAACGAATTCTGTTGTTCACAGCATCAAGTTTTGATTCCACTAACGTCAGAATATCAATCTCTTCTTCTGATAATTCCTCATTCGCCTTTTTGTTGGGGCTTAGGGTTTTAGTATACAAATTAAGAACTTGTTTAACAGCATCCAAATTTTCAGGCCAAGTCTGAAGTTCCCCTTGAGGGCTCGTAATAATAGTACAACACTTGATATCACAGAGAGTTGAAAGCTCCATTGTTTTCCGCTTTATGCATTCTTTTCTGACTTGATATGTTTTCTTCTTGTTTTGGTTTTCTTCTGCCATTGGTTTGCCCCGAAATAATTTGAGAAAGTGAAACAGTCTGACAAGAATATATATATATATATATATATATAGAGAGAGAGAGAGAGAGAGAGAGATAAAGCTTTTAAAATTTAATTAAACTAAATATTTTTTATCTTTTGTTATCATGTTAACATACTTAATTCGGTTAATGATTATATACAATCATGTTAGGAACTTTTGTTATTTTTTCTAATTATTTAAATGCTACTTCGCCTATGAAGAAAAAAACAACAACTACTACATATAACTAGAAAATCCTTTTACATTAAAAACCCTATAATCATAATTCTTTAAAACACTATAGCTAGATTTGAATAAAGCAAATTTATTTTAATATAAATGTAATATATAGGGTACAAGTCTATGTTTATTCAGATAACAAAAAAGAGTTTAACATTCGAATAAAAGTTAACTTACATATATAATAAAGTAAACCTACGTGTTGAAGAAACATCACAAAAATCAGACAATATTCAAAAAAAGTTATTTTTTTTCTTTTTAAAGAATGTTTGTTTGAAGAGTAAATCTGTATAAATGGACATAAAACAAATTTTGGCTATATAATTGCTATCATTAATTTTAATTTAGCACCTTCAAGGAATTGAAGGATATAAGCTGAAACATCTTCATTTAGCTGCAGTCAAGCCAACATTGCAAGGGTATCATATTTTTTCGGTGAAGAATATTAGTTTTGAATCATCATATTATGTGAAATATTTTTTTTTCTAGAATTCAACAAGAGGGATATTGGTTTTCTTATTGATAGTTTCTATAACGATTTTCAAATGTAACAAAAAGTATATTTTAAAAACAAATTTGGTAAGACGTGAATTTTTTTTAATGTAAAAAAAAATTATTTCGAATGGGATTATTTTCTAAAATATAATGTAATTCTAAAAATAAAAAGATAAGATATTTTTAAATTTTAGTAGAGAGTTTTTAAAATTATTATAATAGAAGTCATATCATGGATAAAATCAAGAAACCAAAATCTTATGAAATATTTACATAAATATCCGGCTAGATTAATTGTTTACTTTTTTTTAGCTAATACACATAGATGATATACCGACAACACATGATTATATATATATTCTATATAGATTATATATAAATTACACATCCTTCAATTTTTTTAATTTAAGTAGTTGTGCGAGCACCTATTTAGATTGATTAGATAAAGCCAAAAGAAAAATATGAAAGAATTTCAACCAAAGGCTAAAATATAAATAAAGTACTTATGTAGACAATTTCAATTAAAACTCATCCTTTTATAGCGAAATAGATTAATTTTTTGTAACAAAAAGAAAGAAAGACATAAAAACAAGATAAAAGAAAATAAATATAGAAAAAAAAATATATGAAAAATCTAAAAGCCATAAATAAGAGATGACAACGTATTTCTTCTTCTGTTCCATCTTTGTTGAGTATAAAAATTTTGGAAACTGGTCTCATTGATTTCAAATATTTTTTTCAACTCAAATACATAGATTATAAGATAAGGATATCCTAGACTTTTTTTTTTTTTTGAATTTACATTGTGTGTCATTTTAAAAAAATCACTTTTACTAACAAACTGCTATAATATTCGAATTTGAATTTAAATGAAATTTGAGTAGTTTGCATNAAAAAAAAAAAATAACAACACACCAAATAAAAGTTCAAGTCGTAGTAAAAGAGTCGCGTTTGTAACGATCCAGTCGGTCGTTTTGAGAGTAATAGCCCTGATCCCCTAATTACTGCTATTTCCGTATCTTTTTTTGCTAATGTGAGTTGTCGGGAGGCATTGGTGTGGTTTCAGAGTGAGTTGGGATACTTAATCCCTAAAAAGGAAGCTGAAGTTCTAGGATTTTGGCCATAGTCGGGACTGTGTGAAGACGACTCTGGAATGGAGTTTCGTTGGTTCAGTTAGCTTCGTTGGATGATTTTGTACTTAGGAGCGTGTCCGGAGTGTGAATTGGAAGTCTGTAGTTGATTTAGTCTTGAAATGGCGAAAGTTGAATTTTTGGAGATTTTGACCGGAAGTGGACTTTTTTATATTGGGGTAGGATTCTGATTCCGAAAGTTGGAGTAGGTTTGTAATGTCAATTGTGACTTGTGTGCAAAATTTGAGGTCAATCAGACGTGATTTGATAGGTTTCGACATCGGTTGTAGAAGTTTGAAGTTACAAAGTTCTTTAAGTTTGAATTGGAAGATACATATTGTCACACCTCCTTTTTCTACCCCGTGAAGGGGTATAAGGGAGTTTTTTCCAATTTAAGTGACAATCGAAACGGGATTAGTTTATCTATTGTTCAGAGTCGCCACTTGGGATAATTAATGGTGTCCCAAGTCACCGATTTTAAATCCCGAATCGAGGAAAAATTAACTCTATTTTACAGTCCGCGAACATAGAAATCCGGATAAGGAATTCTGTTAACCCGAGAGAAGGTGTTAGGCATTTTCGGGTTCTGTGATTTTAGCACGGTCGCTCAACTGTTATTATTGGCCTATTTATTTGATTTTTAAAACATCTTTGAAACCTATGTGCACTTTTTATCCTTTTAAACCGCTTTTAATGATCCAATTATTATACAACTAATTATTTAATTACACGTTACGAATCATGTCACGAGAACCGTACCCACGATCCACAACATATTTATTTTATTAAAAATATTAAATTGGGGTCGGGTCACATAAATGTAGCCTCGGATTTTAGAAATTAAGCATCACAACTACGTCACGGGTCGTACCCGTAGTCATGACAATTATTCAATTAACGCGCCTAAAGCAAACTACAAAAGTTCAAGGCATTTTCTATACTAATTTTGTATTTATGTGAAGGCCATATGTTATAGGATTTTATTTGTGTATGGTGCACCTCAAATTATTTTAAAAGAAAAGATTTGTATTTCGCTAAGGCAAACCAAGAATACTCCTACTTATTTCTAAAAAAAAAACTAAGTATCATAATCACGTCACGGGAACCATACCAGTAGTTATAATAATTTAATTACATGCCTAAAATAAACTACGAGATTCATTTTTTAGTATCTAAGTTATAAATATGAGGTCCATAGGTCATATGATTCAAATATGTGAATGGCACGCCTCAAAACTATTCAACTAAATGAACTATGGATATTCGTATTAAAACTAATTGAATTAGGTGTCACAACTACGTCACGGGAACTGTACCCGTAGCTATGACGATTAAGAAAATAGAAATAAAATTAACTAAAGTAAATAACACTCATTTCATGCTCATCTTCTTTTAACTTTTCATTTCATGTATTTGGCCGAGCCCAATTCCTAAACGCCAGAGCTGTCACACCTCCTTTTTACGCCCCCGCGAGGGTACNGAGTCACCAGAGCTGTCACACCTCCTTTTTACGCGCCCGAGGGGCGCAGGGGGAATTTTTCCCAATTAAAGGACAATCGAAACGGGATTTACTTATTTATTTCAGAGTCGCCACTTGGAAGATTTAGGGTGTCCCTAGTCACCAATTTAATCCCGAATCGAGGAAAAGAATGACTCCATATTACAGTCTGCGCACCAGAAATCCGGATAAGGAATTCTGTTAACCCGGGAGAAGGTGTTAGGCATTCCCGAGTTCC